GTTACATTATCTTCATTTTTAATTTGTAATAATTTTGGTCATTTTCTGTTGGACTGAAAAGGATATAAAATATACAGAAATTAATTTCCAAATCCGAGTTGTTCTACCTGTGAGAGTAAAACCTTTTTTTACCAGTTTGGACACTTTATGTTTGTAAAAATACAATTTTTCTCTTAACATTATACATTAAAGGAAAACTAAAGTTCTCAACAAAAGCTTAAAAATTACATAAACCCAGTTTTTACAACATATTTTTTTTGATTTTTGATTTCTGATAATTTTTCTTCTTTATAGATTTTTTGTATTCATACTTTTCAGGGTTAACAAACGCAAAGTTTTAAAGATGATAAATAAAACTTTTTAGATTAGGATGAAGCTAGGATGGTTGGATTGGTTAGGGGAAAATATGGGGAATTTAAACTTCATATGTACCGGGGGGAAGTATATAATATTGGGACGGATGGGTAGAAAGGGGAAGGGTAGAAAGGGGGAAGGGGGAAGGATATAATATTGGGAAGGATGGGTAGAAAGGGGAAGGGGAAGGATATAATATTGGGAAGGATGGGTAGAAAGGGGGAAGGGGGAAGAATATAATATTGGGAAGGATGGGTAGAAAGGGGAAGGGGAAAGGATATAATATTGGGAAGGATGGGTAGAAAGGGGGAAGGGGAAGGATATAATACTGGGAAGGATGGGTAGAAAGGGGGAAGGGGAAAGGATATAATATTGGGAAGGATGGGTAGAAAGGGGGAAGGGGAAGGATATAATATTGGGAAGGATGGGTAGAAAGGATTGTATAGTTGTATTATTGTATTAAATTGTTTACATTGTTATAAATACGTCAGAACAGTTAAAAAGGTAAAAAAATGAAGTCAAAGTAATATATAGGAAGACAATTCATAATATTTAAAAAATTCCAGTTTAGAAATAAGAGCAACATTGCTTAAAGTTTTACATAAACGTATTTTGGCTAAATTTTTTGGTAAATGAATAATAAATTCAGAATTTAGACTTTTTGTTACTTTTGTCATTATTTAATGCATTGCCATTTGCAATATTTAAATTCTCAGCCTTTATATGTAATCTATACAATTTCAATTTGTTTATATCAGACTTAAAATAGATATAATATCTCAGTTCTCCATATAAATGTATACTGCGTGGTGTTAGTGTCAAAAATACGCCGAAAATGTGGCTTAGAGCCTTTATATTCTAGTATATTTTTAGCAATCGAAATGTCTTAATTTGATATTTGAGTGGGTGTTCAATTGAATAATCCCCTTCCCCTCCCTTAGATCCCTTTTTCTTTTTCTCCCATTTTGATTTTTGCATTATGATCCCCTCCCCTTCCCTCGCTTCTGCATACCCCCGGCCCCCTCTCCTCGACCCATTTTATTATCCCTAACTCTCACTATATACCTCTCGCATTGTTCCTTCTTCCTAGGAGACTATTTAGAATAATCTTCTTTGAATTTAAATCCAATTGCATCTGCTAGGTTGGTTGGTTTGTAACCCTGTATCCATGGTAACCTCTTTACATTCATGGTAACCCTCTATCCATGGTAACTCCTTTACATGCATGGTAACCATTTATCAATGGTAACCCTTTATCCATTGTAACCCTTTTTCCATGGTTACCCTTTATCCATGGTAACCCTTTTTCCATGGTTACCCTTTATCCATGGTAACCCCTTTATATCCATGGTAACCCTTTACATTCATGGTAACTCTTTATCCATGGTGACCTCTTTCCATTCATGGTAACCCTTTACATTTAAAATAACCCTTTATCCATGATAACCCCTTTTCCAATCAAGGTAACCCTTTTTCTATGGTAACCTTTTTAAATTCATGGTTACCCTTTAACTATGGTAACACCTTTCCAATGGTAACCTCTTTCTATTAATCTTTTGTGGGTAACCCTGTAATTCTGCCCTTTAATTATATATCCTTAAATCTAAGACATTGAAGCTAGCATTCTACTATTATTGGGATCTAAAGGACCCATCCATCATAATCATTAATCTATTTAACTGCGCTCAACCCTTCAATCTATTATTCATCTATTCTGACCCTCTGCAGTCTGCAGCGTATGCTAAATCAAATCATTTGTTACAAGTCTGCAAGCTTGCATCTGCAGTCTGAGCTCATCTATCCTCTATTCTTAGATTCATTTAGATTTAAAATTCGGTGATGGTTATGGATCAAACCTCTGTAGAGTTTAAAAAAGTAGATGTTAGTTCCACATTTATTGAAAATTTATTATGGTCTGGGTTGACCCTCGTCAGTTCTAACGATGTAATAACTATCAAAATCAATAAAAAAAATTGTTAAAAACCAAAAGAAAAAAACAAACAAAAAAGATTATTTAAAAAAAAAATTGGGCTGTCAAATGGACAAAAGGGAAACGAACTCAGACTTTGAGATGAAAAAAAGATAATTTGCAAATATTCACTTTTTAAAACATTCTAATTTTATGCATTTTTTATGCATTTTATGCAACATTCTAACAAATCAGTAGACTACAATACACATTAATTCTAGATTTAGAATCAACATCAAATGTTAAGCTAAAGTAGAATGTAGAAAGTAGAATGTAGAATTGAATTCTTAAATATTTATATTCATAACTCCTCTTTTTCAAGAATTATTGAGAAGAAGAAAAATATTTTGAATTTCTAATGTAAAAACGGAAAAATATTCCTGTATCATTCTTGTTCGTAAAATCAAAACTTGAGGAGCTATGAGGTCACAAAGTCACACCAGCAATGTCTGATAAATTTGGCCGTTTCCCTCAGTTAAGAAGTTCCCGGACTAATAATATTTATTTATTTACTTTAAAAGCACTTCTTATCCCGATTCCTATTCTAACTTTTTCTTCCCTGTTAATAAAGTTGTAAACATTCTCCATGTTTATTTTATAGCAAAATTATCTGGAGCAGTATAGTATATTCCATGTGTGAACACTTTTATTAGTTTCCGCGTCTTAAATTCTAATTTCCCGGGGACTTATGTTCCGACCAAACTCATTTCAATTCCACTTTTTCTTGACTTCACAGCCCTCTACCGTTTTTCCCAACACACTTCTCCCAAACAGAACCATCCTCTGAATTATTGTATAGTTGTATTACCCCCTCCGTACACTCGCCTCTTTCAGAGAAATCAATGCAGTTATGTCCCCTTACTTCCCACATATGTAAATAACAAAACAAACTTTTACTTTGCCCACTATATCCATTCTTCAATATTATCCTTTCATTCCCGTTATCTGTTCAAAACTTCAATATTATCCTTTTGATTCCCATTATCTGTTCAAAATTTCAATATTGGTATTTTCGTTCCCGTAATCTGTTCAAAACTTCAATACTATCCTTTCATTCCCATTATCTGTTCAAAACTTCAAAATTGACATTTTCATTCCCGTTATTTGTTCTAAACTTCAACATTATTCTTTTTATTCTCGTTATCTGTTCAAAACTTCAATATATTATCTTTTTCATTCCCGTTATATCCGTTCAAAACTTTAAGATTGTCATTTTTATTCCCATTATCTGTTTTAAACTTCACTATTATCATTTTGATTCCCTTTATCTGTTCAAAACTTCAATATTATCCTTTTGATTCCCGTTATCTTTCTAAACTTCAATATTATCCCTTTGATTCCCTTTATCTGCTCTAAACTTTATCCTTTGATTCCCTTTATCTGTTCAAAACTTCAATATTATCCTTTCGATTCCCGTTATCTGTTCTAAACTTCAATATTATCCTTTGATTCCCTTTATCTGTTCTAAACTTCAATATTATCCTTTGATTCCCTGTATCTGTTCAAAACTTCAATATTATCCTTTTGATTCCCGTTATCTGTTCTAAACTTCAATATTATCCCTTTGATTCCCTTTATCTGCTCTAAACTTCAATATTATCCTTTTGATTCCCTTTATCTGCTCTAAACTTCAATATTATCCTTTGATTCCCTTTATCTGTTCAAAACTTCAATATTATCCTTTCGATTCCTGTTATCTGTTCTAAACTTCAATATTCCCTTTATCTGTTCAAATCTTCAATTTTATACTTTTCATTATCTTTATCTGTTCAAAACTTCAATATTATCCTTTTGATTCCCTTTATCTGTTCTAATCTTTAATATTATCCTTCTGATTTCCTTTATCTATTCAAAACTTCAATATTATCCATTTGATTCACATTATCTGTTCTTGTTTCGCGCCCCTGACGCATGATCAGTAGATGTGACAGTATATGCTGCACAGAAAACTGATAACCGGTTTTGCTTAGTCTGCATAGGCAGCCTCCTGGTTTTTGTACTTTCCTTAGTGTTGGGAGATCTCTCTAATTGAAAGCATATACATAGTTTTGTATATTGTTTTTTGCATGTGCAAAGAAAAACCACTAGTTATTGAAAAAGTGTCGTATTTTCAGAATTTAATAGTTTTATGACTGGTTTTTAATATCCTAGAGATTTTGCAAGACACATTGAGGTTAGTACAATATTAGGGGTTACCTTTTGTAAATACAGCAGTTTAAGTACTAGTACGATTTGAGGATATTATTTTAGTCGATTATTTATGATCTTAAAAAGAGTGATTTGATGTTTATTTCTGATTTTATTCATATAGAAGAATGACTCTTTTCCGCCAATGGTTTTTGTATATATATATTGCTTTATTCAACTTATTTTTTTTCTGGAGTCTTAATAGCCTTTTTTATCTCTGCAGATTGAACTACTAAACCTGTGCTGTTCCAGAGAGACAATGACGGAAAGACACAGGGGTTACACCTGGCCTTGCAAAATCGTCTCTAGGTAATTTTGAATTGATCTGTTAAGGGCAAAGCTTCGGCGTCGCTCAACAGTTCTAAACTTCAATATTATCCATTTGATTCCCATTATCTGTTCTAATCTTTAATATTATCCTTCTGATTTCCTTTATCTATTCAAAACTTCAATAATATCCATTTGATTCCCATTATCTGTTCTAATCTTTAATATTATCCTTCTGATTTCCTTTATCTATTCAAAACTTCAATAATATCTATTTGATTCCCATTATCTGTTCTAAACAGTAATATCAATTTCGATCACTTCTTCATCTGTTTCATCTTCTGCATGGTTCTTCATTGTAGTTTCTGATGAATTCTTAGGTTGAAGAGTAATATCTAGGAATGAAACAAGACCTGTAGGAGTGTTGTAAATCCTGGTTCTATTCCAGGCTCTTAGTGAAGAAAAGATTTTATTACAAAAACCGTTGATAGTAGGATGATATTTGACCTCTTTTACAGCCAGGTCATTGAGAGATTGCTGAGATTCTAGAAATCCTAGAATAAATTGGTCCCAGTTTCTAGTATGTCTGTACCTTCCACAAAGGTTCCTAGGGACACTGCTCAGCATTCGCTTGGTAAAAACAGCATCTTTCATTTCCAATATTCCATATAAGATGGAATTGCGGAGTGTACTACTAATTCTTTGACGTGGGTTTCCCTCTCTATTTGACATGGACAGTTTAGATTTGTTCTCCTGGACTTCTTGCATGTGTTTTCTTAGAAGTCTCTGATTTGCTTCCAATTCTACTTGAGCTTCTACTGAGTCATCCACTACTGGAGCTGAGCTACCATGCATATTAGCAGTACCTTTCTCAAATCTTGCAGTTTGGTTTAAGATGTAGCTCTGACTTACGGTATCTGCTGAGTGGGCATGTACAACCTTGTGAAGATCCTTGTCATTAGCTGGTAGTGCTTTGTCCAGTGCTGTACTCTGAATCTTCCGTGAATCTTTTAATCTGAGATCTTTGCTAAATCCCAGGTCCTAAAGAAATAAACATTATTGATTGAATTAATAACATTATAAAATCAGTTTAATATCCTAAACCAGTGTTACCTTGAAAGCCTGAAGGTTGTATATGTTATTCATCTGGAGTGGGTTTCCATCATCCCTTAGGAATAGTTGCGAAGTCTTGTCTATCTTCAGGTTGGTAATTGAGTTTAGATATACCGCCGACATCCTGCTCCATTTGTTTAGAGCAGTAGTGAACTTGCTCGAAAGCATGAGAAAAAGTGTTGCTTTTGTCTTGCCTTCTTCAACTGTTGAGAATCCTAATGATATTCAATTATAAGTATCAAATGATTTTGTTTCTCATCAACGTTTTTATTTTTATCAAATTGACTCTTCTGATCAGATACTTGGTGCTAACTGCAAAGTCTTGGATAAGTTTTAAAAGAATTTTACTTACTTGTTCAGTTGAAATGTCCACATTCCTGGCAGTTCACTGTGTCGGGCCTGGGTGTACAAATCCTGTCTCTTCATGATATTTGCCAATTCGGCACGCTGGCCATTCTGAAGAACAGTTAGGAATGCCAGTTGAATATTAAGTCAGTTATATTGTTCCATATTCAGATGCAATTTCTTTTCCTCGATTTCATCAATTTCTTCCATGATGGAGAGGAATTTTGGACCGTCGAAGAAATCTTTAATCTGCTTCTCTACCTGCTCATACCGATCAGGATTAAACTGTTCACTAAGTTCTTGAGCAACTTTTGCAGATATCTTAGCCGCAGGTTTCAGATCAAGAAGACTGTTTGAAAAATTGTTACGGCATAACATGGTATATCTCTGAAACTCTTGAAATGCTGCTGCGAGCTAGATGTCTTCAGTTTCAATATGGTAAACAGATGACTTTTCCCATAGATAGTCATAAAAGGAAACCAGAGCAGAATTCCTTGCAACTAAACAAAAAATTTGTTTTTTTTTGAGTTAAGAAGCAAATTGTTGTGATTTGATTATTGCCAAGCTGTCTGTAATTGAATTTAGGAAAAAAAAGAACTTACTTGAAGTGCTAGGATTTTCTGTGGTTGCCCAAGCTTCAACTTCCATCCTTACACATGAAGCTTTAGGGAAAAGAGCATCTTCAAGGAGGATATTCTTCCCTTCCAAATGTTTATAAAGATTCTCTTCACTCTTCCCAAAAAGATACGTGGCATACTGCAGTACTGTTTTCTCTGATTTCCGTTTTCCCTGTCCTTGAATTCTTGGTTTAAGATACCAAGTGAATAAGTAGTCATCTCTGGGACCAATTCTTCCTCTAGGGAGTATTGGGGATTCATAATTGATTTCCTGGAATTCTTTAAGAGAGAGCTTCATTCTAGGATCTGATGCATCTAAAGTTAATGCGGTACCAACTGCTTCATTCAACCGATTAAGAAACTCTGGAGAAATATCGCCAATTTGATTGTCAATATCTACATCCTCTAGGGTTTCTAAAAGTTCTGACTTTACATGGAACAACTTATCCACATCCTTGGAGAATACAATGTTTCTAACTTGTTCATGGAGATCTTCTCCAAATTTCCAGTTCTGGATATGTTGTTTAATGAAGTTTGGTACTTGAAAACTGGAATTGATAGAAGATTTCGGCTGTTTTTCAGGTTCTCCTAATAATAAATTATCTTTTCAGTAATCAGTGATCAAGTATGCAATCAATAAAAATCAATTTAATCTAATTTAATGTTTCTATATAAAGTACTGAGAATTAATTTAATTTCAAGTTACCTCTAGGTTGCTCTTGAGACTTTGATTTCAAAGACTGTAGCATAGAAGCAGATTTCTTAGAATACTTTATGAAAGCAGGTACATTGCGTGTAATTTGTTTTTCAGGTTCTCCTAATGATAAATTCAGTCAATCCATTGATTTAGTATGCAACAAACCAAACAATCAAACAGATCTATGAATCAATCTATTAATATTTCAGACCATTTATCAAAGAATTAATTTTAAGTTCAAGTCACCTCTACATGGCACTGGAGCATTGGAAGGTCCAGCTTCCATTAGATCAATTTCCAGTTGCCTTTCCGGATCTTCTAATGATAAATAATCTTATCAGTCAATCCATTGATCAAGTATGCAACCAATCAAACAATCAAACAGTTCTTGAATCAATCTATTAACATTTCAGAATTTTTCAATCAAAGAAATAATTTTAAGTTCAAGTTACCTCTACGTAAGACTGTTGCATTGGAAGGTCCGGCTTCCATTAGATCAATTTCCAGTTGCCTTTCCAGATCTTCTAATGATAAATAATCTTATCAGTCAATCCATTGATCAAATATGCAACCAATCAAACAATCAAACAGTTCATGAATCAATCTATTAACATTTCAGATCATCACTCAAAGTTTTGATTTAAATTTTAAGTTACCTGTATTCTCCTTAGTGGTAGATCTAAGAATCTTGAATTTCTTAGTCTTTTCCGTTACTCTCTCTTGGCATGGCTTTTGTTGACGGTAATGCCTGTACAGACTCTTTTTCTCTGTAAACGAAAATCCACACAACAAACAGGTTTTATGAGACAATTTGGGATTCTTCATAAATCTGGTAACAACAACTTTCCGACGTCCAGAAGCTCTGTCTGATTCGCTGTCTGTTGCGAATAGTTGCTGTCTGAGAATTGAGAAGTTTCGTCTTCTGTAACTGTCTTCATCTTCTTTTTCAGAGGGTATAGAGGAGTCAGAGGACTCCTCACGATTTTGATCAACCGTCTCTTCTGTCTTAACCGTCTCTTTTGGTTCATACTGACAAGAAAACAAATTTAAAAAAGGCAATATTAACCAAACTAAAACTATAATAATCAAATTTAATCTATTTTAATGTTGCTATATATAGTACTGAGCTATAACCAAATCAAACTTTAACACCATCTTAGAATCATCTGTTTGCATTCAAATTTAATCTAACCTGCGGGAATTCATCAGAATCAGAAGAATCAAGAACTTTTCGTTTCAGACATTCAGGTACAGGGGTTTCCTTAAAAATTTATTTAAAAATCAAGTAAACAACAACGTAATCAGACCTAGAATAATTCAACTTAACCTAAATTAACCAAACATACAGTATAATCATCCAGCAAATTAACCATTCAATCTTATTAGTTAAATACTCTGTTATACTTACAAAGATGAGTTGTCTTCGAGTTAATTGGAGTCTTGTTGGAGTCCTTGCTGGAGTTGATCTTGAATTAACAGGTTGATGTAAAGGATTTTGAATGACATCAGGTATTAGGTTGAACTGTTCCAAAGCATCATCAACAAGTTTATTCCATTCCTCTTCAACCATATTACACTTTGGGTATAATTTTCTATGATGAGTTAACAAGGAAAAGAGTTTGTTAACATTTTCTTCAAAATTCTTGAATGGAGAGTTGTTTATATCAACAGTTCCTGTTGTAACGAGTTGTTGTTGTAAAAAGCTAAGTGTACCATGCATGTGGATGGTGCGGAATGATGTGTTCCCTGCCAATGTTTCATTTCTTTCAGCTTTAGGACACTATAAATAAAGAAATAAAATTAATTCATCAATTTCAGAAACAGAATTAGAAAATATATGATTTTAATCATGACTCACATTGAGATTAATATGATTAAGAATTTTTTGAATTAATTGCTGAAAATTTAGGAAAGCATCCATCTTGCATCTGAAACACAAATTGTATATCAAGTATGGTCAGTTAGGTTAAAAAGAATTTTGTAAACATTACTAATACAATACAATACAATATTGATGCTATGTCGAGGACCAACAGGACTTGAATATCTGCCTCTCAGTTGAGACCAATCCTAAACATTTCAATTAAATAAAATGTTCTAAACTATTGGAATTTTTAAGTTGACATTTAAATTGATGAAATAAAGCAAAAGAATATTATTTAGAGTTTTACAGACATCCAAATACCAGACTAAGGGGTTTCCTAATGTTGATAATTGCAAATTAAATGGATTTTAAGGTCATATGGTTAGTTTGTATCAAAATGTGAACTCAACTTCATATGGCTAAAAACAGCAGATGTTTATTTACGTTTAAGAAAGACCATCACTACTTGTATAGTAGATGCCCATCTCTACTTGTATAGCTATTACTCAGGCTCTCAATGCCACACGGGGACACAAGCAGAGTTTAGCTATCTAAGTGCCACACAGGGACACAGGCGTAGCTATCAACAAGCTATTACTTGAGTTCTAAGTGCCAAACAGGGACACAATTGAGTAGATGCCCATCTCTACTTGGGAAGTAAATGCCCATCTATATTTAAAAAGTAGATGCCCATCTCTACTTGTATATTGCCACACAGGGACACAATTGAGTAGATGCCCATCTCTACTTGTAAAGTAAATGTCCATCTATATTTAAAAAGTAGATGCCCATCTCTACTTGTATAGTGCCACACAGGGACACAAGCGTAGCTATCAACAAGCTATTACTTCAGATATAAGTGCCACACAGGGACACACTTGAGTAGATGCCCATCTCTACTTGTAAAGTAAATGCCCATCAATATTTAAAAAGTAGATGCCCATCTCTACTTGTATAGTGCCTCACAGGGACACAAGCGTAGCTATCAACAAGCTATTACTTCAGATATAAGTGCCACACAGGGACACAATTGAGTAGATGCCCATATCTACTTGTAAAGTAAATGCCCATCTCTAATTAGTAGATGCCCATCTCTACTTGTATAGTGTCACACAGGGACACACGCCTAGCTATCAACAAGCTATTACTTAGGATATTAAGTGTATTGTTTCATATATAGCATATGTCAAATTTAAGTAAATTGAAATTTTGTGCTCTTATCCTCTTTATCTATGTCTTTCCCCATGTCTGATCGAGAATATACGAGATATCCAAATAAAAATAAAAATGTATTATTGAGACAATAAATTAAAATAGTAAATTAACAATTTTCAAAATAAGAAAACAAGAAAATTTCTGATTAGAAGGTGGTTTTAACTTTTAAAGGTTTCGATGTGAATCAAACCTGCTACTTCATCAATGTAGATTTACTTAAAATTAGTTCTACAGTCCCTTGAACAATGTTAAATACTGTAAAGTAAACATTAATTTATGTCCCGCCGATGTCCTCTTAGTTCCATTATCATTGATAGATCAGTGTTTGTGTACATGATGTTAGAGGAATAGTTATTTACTTTTCATCCCGGAGAACACTTGACAACCAAGCTCTTCAGTGCATGGTTCATACCAGAGATACTGGAGATGATTAATACCAGAGATAATAGAGATGGTTCATACCAAAGACAATAGATATAGTTCCTATAAGAGACAATAAAGATGGTTCGTACCAGAGATAATAGAGATGGTTCATACCAAAGACAATAGAGATGATTCTTCTAGTAGAGATAGTGCAGATGGTTCATACCAGAGAAGATAGAGATGGTTCGTACCAGAGATAATAGAGATTGTTAATACCAGAGACAATAGAGATGATTCTTCTAGTAGAGACAGTGTACGCTTACTAACAATACTCCCTCGTAGCATTGCAACACGTTTGAATTAAAGGAATTGACTCCTTGCCACAAATTCTGATTTTCTAATCCCTATATCTTTTGAACCCTATGTCGTAAACCTTTGATATTTCAAACTTATATTATTTGACCTAACAGAAGTCATAGTTTGAAATGTCAAATGTCTATAACATTGGACTGCAAAGATATAGGAATTAAAAAAACATAGTTTGTTACAAAGACTCAATTCCTTTACATTGAACTTCAGGTAAACCATAAATTAAAAGAAAAATAATACCATTTTTGAAAAAAAAACACATATCAAAATTAAATTTGTCATTTATTGTCATTGTTCGTTTAAACTTCTTCAGCAAGATGAAACCGAGAGGAGAAACAAGGAAATTAGGATGGGAATGAGAAGAGAAGCAAGGAAATTAGGATGGGAATAAGAGGAGAAACAAGTAAATTAGGACGAAAATGAAAAGAGAAACAAGTAAATTAGGATGGGACTGAGATAAGAAACAATTAAATTAGGACGAGAATGATAAGAGTAACAAGTAAATTAGGATGGGAATGAGAGGAGAAACAAGTAGATTAGGACGAGAATGAAAAGAGAAACAAGTAAATTAGGATGGGACTGAGATAAGAAACAATTAAATAAGGACGAGAATGATAAGAGAAACAAGTAAATTAGGACGAGAATGAGAAGAGAAACAAGTAAATTAGGATGGGAATGAGAGGAGAAACAAGTAAATTAGGACGAGAATGCGACAAGAAACAAGTAAATTAGGACGAGAATGAAAAGAGAAACAAGTAAATTAGGATCGGAATGAGAGGAGAAACAAGTAAATTAGGATGAGAATGAGATGAGAAACAAGTAAATTAGGACAAGAATGAGATGAGAAACAAGTAAATTAGGACGAGAATGAGAAGAGAAACAAGTAAATTAGGATGGGAATGAGAGGAGAAACAAGTAAATTAGAGATGAGAAACAAGTAAATTAGGACGAGAATGCGATGAGAAACAAGTAAATTAGGACGAGAATGAAAAGAGAAACAAATAAATTAGGACAAGAATGAGATGAGAAACAAGTAAATTAGGACGAGAATGAGATGAGAAACAAGATAAATACACATTTAAAATTTAAAAACTTTAATTATGGCATTAAATCTTTTACTTCTTTTCATTGGGATGGGTTTCCTTGTTTGTTAAAGCTTTTTAGAAAAATCATCATTTATGAATTTTGATTGAAATTTGGTTTTCAATTGAATTCTCAGTGACATAACAAAGTGAAAAGTTATAAAGATGACATTTTTCAAATTTATCCAATGTATTTATAATAATGAGTTTAAATGTATTAATTAAAAGAAAATGAATGTAAGAATGTAAAGTTTAACCTTAACTGCTAGAGTGTGAGGATGATTCCTGATATTTGATACACTTAACTCTATGATATAAGCTGGATCTTAACACATAAACGATATATTAAGGGAGATCAGTTTGGGAGAATTTGGGATGGTGATTATTTGGTTTAAATCAAAAAAAATTTAAATTTTTTTAATCGTTCACAATGAAAAACTAAAAAAAATTATCAGAAAAATTGTTAGTAGTTTTTTCTATAAATAATCATGAGAAGGTTGACGAATCATGAGAAGATCATTGAGTAGAATACAAAATTTCTAGTTAATGATTTGATTAATTAATTCATTAATATGTAATTGATAATAGTATCCTATAATCCTACCGTCTCCCCGGAGGCTTGGCTGCTGGATCGGGAAAAACAGACATCACACGAGGGAGGGGGTGCAGAGGCAGCATGATCCCCGCTAAAATGACCTCCGAGCCTCAGAATTTGCAGAATTACCTCGAGGCCCTGCAAAACTGGTCTCCCAGCCTCAGTGACGTCACCAAGCCTCCCGCTATTCTGTCTCCACGCCCCGCATTTTGGTCTCCGCTTGTTGTTTTTATTTTTTGTTTAAATTTATTGGCTTAACCAAACAAATATCAAAATATATTTCTTCATAGTAGACTCTGTCATAGTTTAAAGAACCGTTTAATCAACAATTTTGACATGTTAATTCATTCAATTGTTCTGGAGTTGTTTTTCTGTAAAATAATATAAAATTTTTCTATCTTTAAACAAAACTGCAATAGTTCTACACAATTTAAGGAATTTGTGAAATTTAGAAAACAAAATACAAGCCTTTAATCTCAATTAAAATTCACTTTTTAATACAAAATGTTAATATATCATTCTGAACTATTTCATCATTTTGAGAATTTTTTAAAAAAAAGGTTCTTGTTGGAAATAAAAGCCAAAGATTTTTTTATTGGAGCCAAAATGCAGGGCGTTGAGACAGAATGGCGGGAGGCTTGGTGAAGTCACAGAGGCTGGGAGACCAGTTTTGTGGGGCCTGGAGGTAATTCTGCAAATCCTGAGGCTCGGAGGTCATTTTTGCAGGGATCATGGCGCCTCTGCATCCCCTCCCTCATCACACACGGTGGTGAACTAATCTAGTGGGGTCGGTCAAATAGGCCTAGGATTAGGCCGGGTACTGTAAAAGTCTGAACCCGCCATTGGAGTTGTCTTAGTTAGCCCTCCGAGGGGACTATGCCGAGAAAATTGACCCCTGTCGTATGTTAGTCTGGTTAGGGTGACGTACTGTACAGAATATGGTCAACTGTGTTGTGACGAGGCAAGTTCATGAATCAGGTAGAAACCTCTCATTAACAGTACACTGTACAGCTATTTGTAAACCTCATTATCACTCAAAAGAGTCTTGGATCAACTGTGTTTATATTAACGTTTTTATAATACTTACAATTAATTTATAATTTTGAGTGCGTATTTGGGGTCGGAGCACATTAGCACCATAATGTGTTATATGTTATTAAAGTGTTTAAGTGATGATTTATTGAAAGACTACATCAAAGGAATTTAAGTAATAAGCCCAATTAAGGTGTTAATGTATTTTTCTAGATTAAAAAAACTATATTCCTTGCCAGGGGGGGGGGGGCAATATCTAAATATCTAAATCCTAATTTCTAATTAAGCTGTTGTTTCATCTAGGTCAAAAAAACTATTTTAACTTCTTATTTCAGAACAAAAAATGTCCGTAAAGTTACACTATACTTAAAACTTTAATATTTAATTGGCCTTCAGATTTGTGTGTGTGTTGAGGGGGGGGGGGGGGGCGGGGGTCTGTGTTTTAAGATCTTTTTATGGCATATTTGGAGCGATCTAGATGCTGAAATTGAAGTGGTTTTAGCCGGTATTAAAATTCGAAGTATGGATTTACTGCAGAGTAAAACATAACTTTCGGTGATTATTAGTATTATGGTCTAAAACGACCAAGCTTATATTTGCTTGATTCACTTCTAAAAGAGAAACATATAAGCTTCAAGAATAGGATTTGATCATTAACAAGAAGGAGCCGAGGAGGGAAAAAGAGCCCAGGAGTACGGCATTCTGAGCCCTATATATTCCGGAACCCGTCACCACATATGCCCAGGCTAAACTCTTGGCGAGCCTTGGTCACAGAGGGCCCGTAGACATCTGATTGGATATACAGGTTTTCCCTTATCCTCACTTTACTTGTACTACAACCACTCTACTTCCGGTCTGAGCATCCTAACCTCAGGTGTTGTCTGCCTGAAGGATCTTATTACCCAAGTGGGGGTCCTGTGCCAAGCTAAATAGCACGGCAATGGCAAGAGTAGATAAGAAGCCATGCTATCTTGGGGATACGCAGCTCGACTTGATTGCAACTTCACAGATTGTTGCTCTCAGAGGAGATGAGGTGATTAAGAAG